TGAATGAATAAGTTGCAATAAAAATAGAATAATATTTTAAAAGACAAAAGTATTTAATAGGAATAAGAATATATAATATAAAGAAAAATGCAAAGATTGAATTAAATTAACATTGTGTATATATATATACTCTCAAGACAGTGTTCAATAAAAAGTTAAATGAATTCAAATACATTACAAATATTTATATATAGTACTTAAGAGTAAAAATGGTAAATACATAATTTAGATAAACAGGAGAAATACAATTAAATTAAATAGAACATTGCTATACAAACAGAAAATGTTGCAATAAAAAATGAAATAGAAATAAACATATTGACTCTCTCTCCCCTCAGGTGGTGGGCGTGTCTGCGGTGACAGGAAGTGGACTGGACGAGCTGTTCGTGCAGGTCGAGGAAGCTGCAGACGAATACGAGAGGTTGCTGAAAACACATACATCTCATTTAGAAAGATCTCCAGCAGTCACTCCTCTGAAGGAAAACTGCATCTCCAATGCTCTCTTCTTATAACTGAAATAAATTAGAGGATTTTAACTTTCGTGTTTATTTTACGGACATCTCTTCGTGTTTGTCCTCGGCTCTTTCTTGTGAAATATATTTTTTAATCTCAATATCTGAAAAAGATAATATGGTATAATTTAAAAAAAGCTGAACTCCTCCTCTTTTTCCCTCAGGGAATATCGACCAGAATATGAAAGACTCCGCAAACAGCTGGTGAGTTCATCAAATAACAAAAACATTCATTATAGGGTACAGTTAACAGAGAGCGATTGTTTGTCAAAGATAAAGAGAATACCTTTGTTTTTACAGCCATGGTTATAATGATTCTTCCATTAGTTAAGTTGTTGTTACTCTGATTATTGTAAACAAGTGTTTTGTTGTGTTCAGCTGGACGCTCAGAGCAAGAAGCAGCAGGATCAGATGGAGCGACTCAGGAAGGATCTGGGAGCCGTGGATATGAACACACCTAAAACAGGTAGAGGTTAAAACACATCACACAGAAACACTAACATACATCAAGTATGGACAATGTGTGCTCATATTTATGTATTTATTTATCCCTCTCTCTCAAATATATATATATATTTATATACCGTAATTTTCGGACTATAAGGCGCACCTGAAGCCGCAGCAGCTAAATTGAATGATGTGTACATATATAAGCCGCACTGGACTATAAGCCGCAGGTGTTTTAATGTTTCATTACCATAAGGGTTCGTGCACAGAGGGGATTGTCGGGAAAGAGATGGCTGTTTGAGGAAGCTCCCATTTATTAACATTTCAACAAACAAGTTGCATATTTGCATAACGTATTCAAGTGTTAGCATTTAGTGCAATAGTAGCTACAGAACATGTGCTGTGTAAACTGTACTGTATCACATAGCGTTTCAGACACACAAACTTTTCAACTTTCAAACTTAAACGGTGCGCTCCCAGTGCACGTACCGGCAGTGATCTACAGCAGTGGTTTTCAACCAGTGGTACGGGGACAAACTGTCACGCTCTCGTAATGTCTGTCTGTCTTGCTCTCGTTCTGTCTCTCGTACCACTC